AAATGAACTAATCAAAATTTAGCTTTTTAACATAAACAACTGGATAAGTTAACCCATTAGAAATTAAATTAAAATTCATATCCATTGCACAAATGCGTATGTATCTGGACTCAGTAGCTAAATGAATAACGTATTAGTGTTTGAAGTGAAAAGCATGAAGTTCAGATTATGAAATGAATATCAACTCTGTAATAAAGAGACATTCAGCTGAGGAGTCGTAAATAGGATGAAAAGTTCGTTCTGAATTCCACTGCTAACCACATACTATCTATTGTATAAGAGAATGAATGTTTCTAAAACCTGAGAATTTTACAGTTTGTTTATTATTAATCGGTATTTGTTAATAAATCTGTAATAAACTTTTCCGATTGCATTAATGACTAGATAATCTGCTGTAGTCTCTGTCATAATCTATCTGCAACTATGCAAATCGAAATATCAGCATTTTTAGTAGTTGATGTGAACTAGACTTCAACCGAATTTGTACTGTGTCATCCTTCTCATTAGTAATAATTCTTCACTCAACCCTCAAGTACTGAAAAAAACTGGGGGAAAAAATAGTTGAAGGTTTGTTCCAGATGCAACAATAAATGGTATGGAAAGAAAAAATGGTATGGATATCTATAGAACTGTTTGGTGTGTCTTTGAGAATCTACCATTCTGTATATAAATTTCATGTTACTTTTCCAGTTCATTACTTATTTGGAAGTATTGTAACCATTTTGCTTTGATGGAAAAAAATTGACTACATTCAAAAAGATGAATTACAAAATAAGTGGCTGTGAATGAAAACTATTTTTCCTTGTATTATTGAATTAAGTTAGACTATGATGTAAGACAATTAACTTAATTAGATTATATTATCAAACCTGTTATTTATATATTTTTTAGTAATATTCGGATAATAATTAATAGTACGATCCAAAATGCGAGTTTCTTCTTTTTGAGACTCATCAAGATGGATGAATGTACATGCATCGTAGTGTTGATATTCTAATCCGGTACTTGTCATATTAAGCCTAAATGTATCATCTACTAGGCTAGTGAGTTAAAATCGCTAATAAATCATTTAACAAGTATACGGTTAATTATAGTTTTTAATATTAACTCTTAAAACTGTAATTCATATGATTTCGATTTTTTTGGTGGCAACTGTGATGAAAAATAGAAGTTATACAACATTAAAGCGACCAAAGTAAAAATTGTTCGATTATCAATATTAAAGCATTTTAGAGGACTGAAAGAATCTTTGTATGTACATAATCACACTAGCTAATTGGAAACATGTTACTTTTTTGTAAAGTGTTCAGATGATTACTAAATTCGAAGTGTTATTACCATGGACTAACTTTAGTGAGAAGTATTCAACAACTTTTTCATCATAATATAATAATCCTCAGCAATATGTATCCACATTACCTTCAACTTTTGGTTAACTAAATACAAATAATAAATGTTACGATAATTGTGTCGATAAAGAAATCAATAAATATGGTTGGCTAGATTATTCAACTTTGTGGTTGACCCATTTTTTTCCCAACACCCAAGAGATTAGGTTATGGAAATGAGTACATTAATTCTAATAGTGAACTAACTGGAAGCGAGCGACGGAGACAGACAGAGGAAAACGTAATTAAAAACTTCATTGTAGTTCAACCATTCTAACATTTTTTAAAAGTGAATAACAATAATAATAAAACAACAACACAAAAGCAAACAAGATGAGAATAAGTTTTAGAAGTGTTACTTTTCCCTTGTCAATTCCCAATATATTAAAATTTATACAAAAATGTTCATGAAAATGAAAACATTTTGAATTTTTGTAAAGTATTTCATATGAGTAATAAAATAATATTTTATGGTAACGATTCAAAACGTAGTCTATCATGTTTAATGTTATGAAGATATTTATAACTGTCTACCTAGCGCAAATTCGAATATACAGTGCATGTTAGTCTTGCATTCTACCGATATCATCAGCTGTAAGCCCAAATAGGACGAAAGGCGCATCCTGGATTCCATTGCTACACACCATCCATCTCTATTTATAATACTTGTGACTTAAGAGAATAACGTAGCAATCCGTACAGGATGTACATGTACCAATGCGAAACTGATCAATTGAAATCCTACACAACCATGGGAAGATTTGGACAAACAATACAAAATGGATCTAAATAATGAAAATTCTTATGATCATTTATGTGGTCTTCCAGTATTTTGATTAAAAAGTTAAAAATATCGGAATCAGGTTGAATTGTCAGTCATGTAATAAATGGAATAACGGAATCTTCGGGTTTATGTGGAATGAAATGAGCAAGATCACATTAAAATGATATGATCAAATTTGTTATTTGTTCAGTGAACAGAACCCCAACTTAATATATATGTCACAAAACGAAATCTTTCGTCAATTTATTGAATGTGAGAATGAAGATATATATTGAGAAATTGAAATTATCGTAATTTTCAATTACTCGAATACTTGACAGTCAAACGGTGATTATTATACACATAGGAACTTTATGGAGATTATTAAATCTTATTGGTTGCAGTACTGGCTAAGTATCGTTAGATAATTAATAAAATCTAAGAAATATTCAACAACTAATTTGCATTAGTATAGGACTGCTCAGTAGTGCTCTTTCATGACGCGAACACAATGAATTGAGTACAGGATATTCCAATCTTATTTATTATTTGTTTATTTTAACACAAAAACATAAGTACAAGAAGGCATCAAATAAATATGCACCATATAAATCATTCGATTCGTGTGAGGGCTAGGATACTGCCCGGGTGCCCAAACCGAATGGCATGTGGTTAACCTACAAAATACTAAGTTGGCATCAAATGTTTATATTTTTCACAATCATCAATTTATAATATTGTTCAATCATCTTCCAGTGTTATTGATCAGTAACTATCTCACACTAGAAATGGTTGAAGTCAACTGCAACAAGACAAGCATTCAGTGTTTTTTTTTAACTAAGCACAGTACGTAATACAAACTAATTAATTTGATTAACTACATGTAACAATAAAAGAAAAACCAAATGAATGTATTATTCCCCTTATCAATATTTAATTAAAACAAATAACTTTCCTAATGAAAACCAATAATAAAATTGATAAAATGATCTACAAATATAGTCGGTCAGTCAGTCAGCTACAACGTAGGATCAGGCACATATATACATCAGTCCAAGTTGCTACACTTCATTAGCACAACAAGATGAAAATCAGATTCATAGAAACAGTTACTTCAATGGTAGTAATATACAGAAAAAAGATTGCATATAAAAGTATAGTACAGGAAGAAAGAATTAGTTTCTAGAAAGAAAGATATAAAGCAATTTTAATTCCATAGTTTAAGGGAAGACAAAGAGTGCATACACCTACGCCATTGTGATCGACTCTGAACCATGTCATCAAGAGTCTCCAACCATTGGTTACGATAGTCACGCGGACTCCAACCAAGTAGTGTGCATCTACCAACATGGCTCAGACTAGAAGTTAGTGACTTCAAGGACTGATGCCACATTTTGGTTTGATCGCCCCTAACTTTCTTCCAACCATCCCCTACACTAGTTAGCATTGCACGTCGTGGCAATCGGTGTTCAGGCATACGTCACACGGGGCCCAACCATCTCAGTTGATAAAGATTCACAACCTCATCAACTGATTTACCATCATTCCCTAATACCGTACGTCTAATTTCTACAAATATAGGATAAATATTAAAAATTATTAGAAATCTTTCCTGTATTAAGTGTTATTCATGAATTAACTATAATGTAGTCAAAATTTCCATAAGTAACTTAATATTCAGTATTCTTGTAGTAGTTTTATAGTTGTATCAAAGTTTTAATTCTGTTCAATGAATACAATATTGAGTAACGTTAAAAATGAATTAGATTTAATCAACAAATTTATTGTTGTGTTTGTGGGGTTTTCAGATTATTTACCTGACATGTTATCAGTCATACTATAGATTCTCATTTACTATATATATATATATATATATATATATATATATATATATATATATATATATATATATATATATATATATATATATATATATATATATATATATATATATATATATATATGGGTTGATGACCTGGTCAAATATTTAGGTCATGTACTTTTTAACTGTACATATATTATAGTAAACTTAAATTCAACTGAATAATTTATAAATGTTAATTATATGTACTTACAAGTTTGTTACCATGTGAAATATTGAAAAACTCTAAAGGAATACACTACAATTGTTAGTATATATATAACAATAAATAAATAAAATATATTAGAAATTATAGATCTTATCATGTAAATGTTAAATAGAAACAAATAGTTGTAACAGTTAAATTGTTAGGAAACTATTCTGATTGAAAATGATTAGTAGATATTACTAACTACTGAAAACATTTTCCTAACTATAAGAATACATATTTGAAGGGCTTTTTGTGGATATTATAGTAATTTTAATAATTGAAATTATGAGTCAATTAAAGCTAGACTACCATGGAAAACCTGGAAGCACTGGATGGCCGTTTCGTCCTAGTATGAGACTCCTCATCAGTGCGGATCCATGATCCCATCTTACGAGATTCGAATCCAGATTCTGTTGGTCTCGCGCACGAACGCTTAACCTCCAGACCACTGTGCTGACCGGTATCCAATGGTGTTAATGTCCAACTTCAACTAATCCGTATTTAATATTACATATTTAATAAAAATCGATTTTATTATAGTATTACTAATTCTCAGAATAATATATTGATATTCCTAAAGGATGAATTATATAACTGAGTGAAACAAGATTCAATGAGTAAACCGAAATGAAATAGAAAGTGTTCTTTTCATTTTGTAATTCTTAAACAATGTCTTATAGAAAAAAATAATTAAGTTTTTTGATTAGGTCAGTCTTTAGTTTTACTCCAATATATATACATAACGTGAAACTAACAATTAAACAATTACTAACTTACTGACTAATAGTTTTCCCCCACCAATTTTCTTTATTATGTAATATATCTGATTTTTTTGAAGTAATATTTAATCTTATTCCATCATCATCTTTATTTAATATTGATGTAATTGAAAAATTTGTTGGCGGTTCCATACATGATTTCATTTGATGTACACGCCAATTTCTACGTCTTTCATATAAACTATTTCCAATTGATTTAGAATTTATATTTGTAGACATAGGTGTAATAGTACTTATAGTCGTTGTAGTTGTAATATTAGTAGTATTTTCAGTAGTATTTATAATTTCTGTCATATTTCTTTTTTGTTGTTCAGTGTTTATTTCAAGATTCATTATGATTATAATAAAAATATAATTAATTAATTAATAAATAAATAATAGTAATTATAGGAATAATATGTAGTGTTCACTACAATGTATTCATATTATAATTCATTCTATTTAATTAATCCACTGTTATTTTTTATATATATATTTATCTTTTTTATAATAAACATAATCCCAACTTATTCTTTAAAAAAAACAACAACATATTTATATATGTATATATATATATATACGGGAGGAGAACATTAAGCTAATTTGAATTGTGCATATTTACGTAAACAAGTGTGTGTATGTGCGTGTGCATTTGCGTGTGTGTGTGTGTATGTACATGTTTCTGTATATTTATATATATATATATGTCCATGTATGTAATTTGTGTAAATGAATGTGAGATTGTTTAATATGTATATGTATTCACTTTATTTTACTTAACAAAAGAAAAAAAATTTTAAAAATATATTGATCATAATTGATCGATTTTTTTAAATATATAAATTTAATTATTTAATTTTAAATCGATCTTTTTGAATATAGTGAATAGAGCACATTTCAATTTAGTTAAATATCAAATAGCTATGTATATACATATATAGCGAGTGCGTGCGTGCGTGCGTGTGGACAGGTGGACGGGCGAGAAAGAGAATAAATGATCAATTCATAAATTATTATCATTATTATTATTTAATTATTCAATTTAAAATTATTTGATGTGTGCTCAAATTATTATTGGATAATAATGATTGGTCAATTTTATTATTTTTGCTAATCATTAATTGATTGGTTAAAATTATTTTAATGAATGAACAAATGGGTAAATCGGTAAATGAGTAAACAAGAAAAGAAATAAACATTTCTACTTATAACATGTAAAATGTATTATTATTATTATTATCACACAAGCTAGTGGCTATCAGGACTCAATAGTTAAGTGAATAACGTCATGGCATTTGAAGTGAACAATACTGGGTTCGAATCCAAGATTGAACATTAACTCTGAGATGAAGGTACATCTATCAGATGAGTCGTAAATCGAACAAAACGCGTGTTCTGGATCTAACTACTAGATACCATCCATTTTTACATATTATGCTTGTGACTCAAGGCAATAACAAGACAATACACATAGTATGCATATATGCTTATAAGAAACTGATCAATTGCAGTCCTAAATATCAATGGGAATATTCAAACAAACAATACCAAGTGAATTTATTATCATTATTATTGTTGATCACTTATAGCCTTAAACATGTAACTATCTAAACTCATAAAAAATTAGTAAAACAGGAAACGAATAGATTGAAGAAATTTCTTTTCATTTAGTTTTTTATCATAGCTCTTAACCGATATATATAATTTACAACTCGTCGAATAGTTACATTACGTAATAATTGCATAATGACGTCATGGTAAACAATTTTCTAAACCAATAAAAAAGATAATAAATACTATTAATTATTTCATTCTCTGTTGACAATTACTTAAATGAAAACATTTAGTTTGTTTCTCTTTCGATCAGTGTTTTATAACTTTTCTTTCTTTTCAAAATAATCTTATATCATCATAGAAACAATATTTTAAAAAAAAAGTCTAATACATGTAATAATGGATGAAATTAATTACGCCTGTTACTCTCTATCGAGCATAGGCCGTCAACTAGCATTCTTCAATCCATTCTGTCCTAGGATTTCGTTTTTAGCCAATTGTTGTTCGTAATGGATGAAATGAACTATATAAATTACATTTTTGTACATTAAGTTTTTTTTAATATATTTATTTCTATGGATTTCTACATCAAACAATTACTTAACCAGAAAATTAAAAGATGGTCGAACAATATTGTGAATTGATTAAAGCTAACAGTGTAAACTATTTAATAATAACGCATCAATATAAAAGCCAATCATTCGTTATGAAAACTGTAGGCTATGAGTTCTATCTTGTAACAAAGTCTTTTATATAATAATTGTTATTAAAAAATACGAAGAAGATTCAATTACAAATTCATTTGATGTTATTTATTTATATTTTTCCATTATTATTTAGGACTGGAATTGATTAGTCTCTTGTTGGCATATATGCATCCTATGCGAACTACCTCAATATTGCCTTAGATCATAAGCTTTATATGTAAAGATGGATAGTAGCTAACAGTGGAATTAAGGACGCACATTTCGTCCTATTTGGGGCTCATCAGCTAGATGTACCTGCATCTCAGAGTTGATGTTCACTTCGCAACTCCAAACACAGTATCGTTCACTTCAAATGCCATCACGTTATCCAGTTAGCTACTAAGTCCTAATTCACTTATATTCAAATTCATTCAATTATAAATTGACCAAATTTAAAGTTTATTATTTACAGAACTTTTCAAACTAAATAATTGTTAATTAGATGTCAAACTTAAAAGAATTGATACCATTGAACATGATGGATTAACGAATACAAATTAATGTCACATTGAATAAAAACAATCACACTGAATTAATTCAAAGTCAATTAAACATCAACAGTAATTACTGTGAATTAATACAAAAGTTAACTAAATAGAAAAACATCTTAAATCAATAGATAATCTATTACTCAATTTCTGCATACTAAATTTTATTTAAGCACTTGACATCTTCAACAGAACGTAATACTTCTCATATAAATCTTCTTCTTCTTCTTCTTCTTGTTCTTCTATCGTTTCTAAAATGTGTTGTATTATGATCTTACTAGAGATATCATTCTTAAATTACATTTCCAATAGAAGCGGTTTCACAAATACTATTTGTACTTTCACATCAGTTTTTGTGTTGGGTCATAAATATTATTAAGAATTTCGATATGCTGTATGAATATTTTCATTAAGTCAGAGATATTATCATCAACATTTTTAATAGATAAACCCAAAATATTGTTTAATAATTATTATTTATTTGTGCAAGTCGTCTCCTTTATAACTTGTTTAATGGGTTGACATTAGATTCAGATTATGAATCAATCGATATTAGACTACAATTGAAAACCTGTAAGCAATGGACGGACGTTTCGTTCCAGTGTGGGACTTCTGAGCAATAAGGATCCACGATCCCTCACAAGATACATGAACCCAGAACCTCCGCGATCGTGCTTCCAGGTTTTCGATGGTGGCCTAACATCTATCGATTCATGATCCCAACCAAAAACTTAACAATCTCCACAACCCCATACTGAGAATCGGCTTTAAAGGGACAATCAATGAAGGATCATGGAATAAGACTGGATGTTAAAAAAGCGAACAATAACAAGACTCGTAATTAATTTAACGAGACGAGAGTTCATTTATATATGAAATCGGATTTTGACAAATTATTTATTCGTTTTATCTGTATCCCATTCTAGTTTATTCTGACAATTTTTGCTATGAATTCACCCAGTTTTGACATTTGTCCAGGGTAAAAGTCATATTTAAGCTATAATATTTTGAATTTAAATATTGAAAAGGATATTTTTCCGTGAAAAATATTTTACTCAGGAGCAGACCAAACTTACATTTCAATGTCTGTTTAATAGTTGGGGAGAGAATCAAAATTTTAGAAGGGCATAATGTTGGGTAGTAATTATGAGAGTTCTCTTATTTCACTAACTATCTCTTTCTTATTATCCGACCGGATACTAAAGAGCATTTTATAATGCTGGACAACAGTTGTTTCAGACTAGTAGAAGTACTGTTCAACGATGAACATCCAAAAATCTGCCATAGATTAAACTAAAGATCTTCAAAACACAGCCACTGTTCACATTTTTAATTTCAGTTAATTTATGATATTTAGCGATCATCATTCATTTTTGTTGATATTTGTGCTTTCTGATTATTTACCTATGGCCTAACTACATAAAATTAGTCCATAACTTAAAACTATAAATCACTAATCAACATTACTCACTTTCAATTCGATAATTACGTTTTAATAGTCGAATTCATCAGTCGATGTCAGCTAGACCACCACTGAAAACCTGGGAGCATTAGATGGACGCATCATCTTAGTATGAGACTCCTCAGCACTAAGCATCTACGAACTCACACCAGAGACTCGAACACAGGACCCTCGGTCTCGCTCACAAACGTTTGGCATCTTGACCACTGATTAGGCATTCAACTGTGTTAATGTTTCATTTCAATCGATCCATGATCTCAAGTAACGTAAAGGCCGTTTAGTACTTCCAGGTTTTCAATGGTGGTCTAGCTTACATCGACTTATGAATTCATGTATTAAAATCACTAAAATCTCTATGAACCCCCATTCTAATAAATAACTATGTTTTATCAAAAGGGGTTTTGTGGAGATTTTAGAAATTACACTAATTGAAATCACGATTCAATTGAAGCTATGGAAGCAATGGAAGGCTGTCTCGTCCTAGTATGGGACTCCTCAACAGTGCTCATCCACGATCCCACCTCACAAGACTCGAACCTAAGACCTATCAGTCTCGCACGCGAACGCTTAACTTCTAGATCACTAATCTCACTGGCATTCAATGGTGTTGATGTTTAACTTCAATCAATTCATGTAATATTTATTAGATAGAATAGTTTTCTAAATTAAATCTAATATAATAATAGTTGAATAAGATATGATACATTTTGTTTTATATTATGTAATCCAGTGTAAAATTCTTTTTAGTTTTTTAATTCTCGATACTTTAGTTATATGATATATGGTATTTATTTATCATGATACATTTATAAAATCGATAATTAAATGAATATATCTAGTTAAAGTGAAATAAATCTTTATTTACTACTATTCTTTACCTTTTTCCCATAAGTCACGTGAATTGTAGGGTCATAATAGATATAAATTTAATGAAACTTTTGTCTCAAAGTACAAATGAAAAGAAATAGCTCCTACTACCGTAGTTTCATGTTCTCCATG